ACCCTTGCACAAAACGACGATAATTTTTCTAATTTCATAGACAACAGAAGACTGTATTTTTTCTACATAACCCCCCCTGACTTTAAAGCTGGATCCGCCCCTGCTCTGGGCTGGGATCCGCCCCTGGACATAACACGAATAATAAGTTATAATAAATAAAAATAGCCGAAAATAAAAGCCGTCAACTTCATATTTAAAATTTGATGTCAATGCCATTTTTGAAATTGTCATGTTTTGGCGTTTGTAATTTTCCAAAGCGTACTTTTGTAAGCATATACAAGTGAAACAATGAGTGTTGAAAATTCAAGTGCTGCTTTCACGGTATGGTGTTTGATGCATATGTTGCATAAAATGTGCGCTCTTTAAAAAAATAGTGTTTTGCTTGAGGCAACATCGGCGAGCGCAGAAAAATAGACCATTTGAACGACTTTGAGACTGAACTTGTAACAAAGTTATAATTTACAAATTGTAAGTAAACTTTAAATTATGATCAATAGTTGTCTATAAACCTGCGTAATTAATTAAAAAAGCTTGTCGTTTATTTTTTATTGAAAATACTTCAAAATCTTTTATGACAGTGACACGTTCAATTTGTCAGATTTACTTTTGCGCACATGTGCGTAAAAGTAAAACAAATGAACAGTAAAGAAAAGTGCTTCTTTTTGATCATCACTTCTATTGAAAAATGATACTTTTAGATTCATTCGAATAAAAAAGACGATTAAATATCATGATTATTTCGCAGGCGGTTCACGATTGACTGTGCCAGACTATTGGGCTCCACTAGGTGCGAACAGGCCATACAAAGTGTTCCAAAGTGGCCTGACCAGTTTATTTTTTGTTCAAGTTGCCCCGTTTTCTCCGAGAAATGTAAGGTGCGTTCAGTTTCTTTATTTTGTGGACTTTTTCACTTTTTGCCAGTTTACGATACATAACAGCGCGATGCGTAATAATTTCCAATCAACGAGATCACTTGCCCGGAGTCATCTGACGCCTCTTGATTGGGAAAAGCAACAGATTTTCAGTGAAAAAACTCGACTTTTTTTGTTGAATTTTGGTCCTATTTTTTTCCGATTTCCTTATAATTTGTTTCATTCAGAGAATTGCTTACGCGATTACTCTTCTGAAGAATGAACGTTTGTCTCGCTTTGCGCGATTTCTATCTGCAGAAACTCAATGGAATCACGTGCTTCTCATGAATGGCAAAAATTTTAACTAGGTCAGAAAAATTTACGTTTATGGCGTTTCAGAGCTGGGCTGAATAGAATTTAATTTGGAAACCGTCTTGTCGAACGAACCTAAATATGGAAATTGAAAATCAGATAAAAACGCGTCACTTTTTCTCGATGGTTTTTTTGCTTAAAGCCAAGGAAAGTGAGTTTTCGGTCCTGTTCGAACTGTATTGCACCGATATCTGGAATAAGATAACAAGCATTACATTTAAACGGAGGCAAATTTCAAAATCGGCCAGGCAACTTGAACAGCGGGCCTTCACCTCGATAAATTCTTGTAGAAAATCATAAAAACTCCATGTAAATAGTGTCTATATACTTTGTACAGCCAATAAGTTGTCCAATCGAGAGGTGCAATTGAGTACAGTGTTAAGCTTAGGAAAGAATTTTAAAACTGTTATCAAGGGCAATATCTTGCGAAAGTATGCTTTATACAGGGTATTTCAGGACGAGATTTTTACGATCTAAACACAAAACGGGACAGACTTTCTTCAGTCAATTTGATAGATTTTCGTATTGCAATGCAAGAAAAAAACCGAAGAATTGATTGTTTTCTTACATTTAGAGGAACTTTTAGAAACTCCTCTGAAAGTCAATGCTCACATGCTTTATGATTGCCCGAATTTGTTCATTGTGTACTTAATTGCTGTGGCATTCGTGATCAATTATTTTCATTAGATTCACGGAACTAACTCAATGGAAAAAAGGTGAATAATATACGGACCTTCCACATAATATACATATCAACTTATGAGACGCCACGTAATGGGAAAAACCTTAAAATGGAAAAGCATTGACCTACATCCGACCAGCTTAATTTTCGTGGTTTCTCAAAATTACTTCTTCAGATCTTTATGGTTAGTTTGTTAATGAAAGCTGCCGCTGTTAATGATGGTTTAGTCAGGACATTTCAATTTTTACAAAAATGTGTTCTTTGCTGCATATAAATTCATGAAAATATTCACCAAAAAGTAAACAATTTTTGCTGAGTAAACTGGAACATTCACAAATTCAATCCGCAATCCATCAAAATGTTTTCGATGACCACATGAGCCAGGTATTTGTGTGCTCAATTAAATCGAGCGCAGGCAAAAAGTCTTCATTGTTCGTGTTAAATGATGGTCACTTATGTATGTGGATACATTAGCATAACAATTAAGTGAAAAAACAATGCAATGCCTCTCGAGCGAATGAAACTATGTAGTTGGCGGTTGATTGGAAAAAAGCAACTTGTTTTAGCTTAGTGGCTTTGAATTTGTTGTATAATGTACAAATCACATAATCCCGTGTTGACTTAATTTCGAAACTACTTCAAGTGAAAACCCGTTGACAGGTTCAAGCTTGTAACTGGGCTTAGATTTCAATAGATATGATTTATTTATTTTAATGTTGGTGCTACTTATTATATGCAGAATTTAGCGCAGATCAATATTTATAGATTAGTGGTCCGCAGGTCTGATTGTTGAATAGCAATGAATGCCAGGTGCAAAAGCAGCTATTCATACATTGGCCACAGCATCTTCTTTGTTAAATCAAAACTATATTACTTTTACCTTGTCCTTAATACGGCTGTTTTATAATATAATGCAGTAAACAACTGCATAAGTTTAAAAACTTTGTCTCATACGAAGGTGACTTGCTTTAAGGACAGTTATATAAAATTAAAATTTCAGGCATTAGCCAAACATGTTACCTAAATTGGCTCATACATATTTATGTGCATTTATACAGTGCGAGTCTCTAATTTGGAATTAATTTAGTAAATCAAAAACAGGTTTTTTTTCGGAAATATCCTCGGACACGTCGATTACAATTTTCAGTTGCGCTCTTGCTGCATGGAAATGATTTGCAGAGTGTTCCAAAATTCCTCAAAATTAATTTTTTGGTTGCGTTTTCAACGGTTACAGCAAGGAATATGTATCACTAGCTGACGATATCCTAAACGGAACTCAAACTCGTTTTTAACATTTGTAATTATTCGGCAGAACTACCCATATAACCAGTGGGGCTTCATTTCGTCAGCTTTCAGTGCCTCTGTCTGGAAATATTCACGGTCAGGTGAAAAAATAAAGAAATCAGGAAACAGAGTAGCCAAGTTCTGAACTAGTTCTTCTTGCAATAACTGCAAATATTCGACTTTATTGATATTTTCCTTGAGGAAAATCGGCTTCCCCTTGTCCAATCTGTTTTGTCTGTAATACGTCCGTTTTATGTGTTTGCGCCGCTTTTAACTCACTTTCAAAATAGGATTGTCCATTAGAAAAACAGTAGATGACCTCATATCTCGTATTTAAAACACCAATCGATTTGTTTGAGGATAGAGATTTAGAAAACCCTGTCTTTGTTTTATTGAATGTATTTAACTTTGAGACCCGCGATGCTAAAATCCAGCAACAGAAAGAAGACCAAGCCCGATTATATCACAAATTGCAAATGTTTATCACATCAGATTGACATTAGCATAACGACTTGTCGTAATGTACTTTGTTAGCATTCCTGCATGCTATTTAATGCACTATTGTTTCAACGTTGAAATCGGTTTGCAACAGAGAAAATATTGCGCGAATTTGGACAGGGTTTGGTGCTACGTGATTTGGTTGTCTTCCCA